CACTGAACATCAGAAGGCTTGGCTCCACTCCGGGCTACAAAGTTTCATTTGTAGAAGATAAATAAATTCCAGATACCAGGGCCTCTGCTTGGGTCACGGGGGGTGGTGGTGGGGTGGGGGGTGGTGGTGGTGTGTGTGTGTGTGGCTGACCTGCAAACCACCACAGGCCCCTCGCCCAGGCTGCCCATGACTCAAAGGAACCCCCACCCTGATCTGGGCCACTCTTCAGGTCAAACCAGCTGGCCCCACCCATGCAACAGGCCTCTATCCTATCTAATAAGAGTAATATGCAGATTGACCATCACTCCAACACACAAGATGGCTACCCCCATGTGGACACAAGATGGCCACCACAAGATGGCCAGCAGGGGAGGGCGGTTGGGAGGGACCAGGCCTGCAAGGGAGGGCAGTTGGGGGTGATCAATCCTGCAGGGGAGGGCAGTAGGGGTGACCAGGCTGGCAGAGGGAGGAAGTTGGGGGTAAACAGGCTGGCAGGGGAGCAGTTAGACATCAATCAGGCTGGCATGGGAGTGGTTAGGGGGTGATCAGGTTGGCAGGCAGGTGAGCAGTTGGGAGCCAGCAGTCCTGGATTGTGAGAGGGATGTCCGACTGCCCGTTTAGGTCTGATCTCACTGGGCAGTAGGACATCCCTCGAGGGGTCCCAGATTGGAGAGGGTGCAGGCCTGGTCCCTCCCCTATGCACAAATTTTGTGCACTGGGCCTCCAGTCCAGCGTTTTTCAACCGCTGTTCCGCGGCACACTAGTGTGCCGCGAGATGTTGCCTGGTGTGCCGTAGGTGCAGACAAGACAAGAATTTTATACTTTTTCACTATTTTGTTTACTTAATATTTCATAGTAAAGTAATTATAAAATACTTTCTTTGTGTTTATTTGATTCCTATTCAAGAGAATTACTTTATATATAGTCAATATAGGCACAGAGTTAAATTTTTTAACATTTTCTAATGGTGGTGTGCCTCGTGATTTTTTTCATGAACCAAGTGTGCCTTTGCCCAAAAAAGGTTGAAAAAGACTGCTCTAGTCAAATATAAACGAGGACAGATCTTGAAGAGTCTAAGAAAATACGGCAGAGGGACTGATGGGGGCTGCGAAATGCCAGCCCTGAGGCAGAGCTGGAGGGAATGCAGGCACACCTTTCCCCAGGAGGGTGGCCGGTAAGAACAGAGAAGCCCTGAAAGTTCTGGGGGCAAAGAGGAAGTGGACCTGCAGATTCAGGCAAGAAAAAAGAATTCCTGTCCAGTTACCCCAGGCCTGAGCTGTACCCAAGAACAGGTCTCTCTTGGAAGCGCCCCCTTCTGGCTCAGGGCTGAAAACACTGCGTGTGGTAGGACTCCCAAATGCGAAATGTTTATGCTTTCTAAGGGAGGTTACGGGAAGGTACTTGGAAAAGAAACGGATAAGCTTTTTATCATAAACAGGAAGGGCGAAGGGAAGGAAGATATCTGAACATTCTACTTTCTCAATTTTAATTTAGGGCAGTGATGGGAATGGGCTGGGGCAAACCCTTAGGATTTCTTCACTGGGAGACAAATGGAGCCCCTCAAAAAATAACTGCCGTGCCTAATCTCCTCATTAAGAAAGAAAATTCCAGTACTTTTTTTTGGTTTGTTTTGGTCATATGGCTCACCAGCACACTCGTCTAGACCTTGAAGAAAAGGCTAAGAAGTTCAAATGTTCTTGTTTAGAGGGATTAAGGGAAAATTGCTTCCAAAGTGGTGGTCACTTTCTTCCCACCACTATAAAAACAGACAATTAATCCAATTATGCCTTTTTCTTTTCCCCTGAACCTGTCTCCAGGATTTTGCTTATTGGAATGTCTCCCCCTGAAAATTTTCACCTGATAAATTCTTAACCTTCACAGCCCAGTTTTTCCATGGGTGACCACTATATTGCTTTTTATAATTCACCAGGATAAAATTACAACATTATTTGCAGTCCTGTTATGCTCTTGAGTATTACACACTCTATTTTGTTTGTTTTACCACCCACTGGTTTATTTATTTGCAATTCTGTTCTAACGACAGGAATTGTACCTCCTATTTATCTCTGTTTCCCTAAAAAAGTACACGGCACATAGTAGGTGCTCAGTGTTTACTGTACAAGGTAAAATTTGAAAACCCCACAGGAGTACTTTTTGATAGTCGAGCTATAACTGTGGAAAACAGAAGTGGGGTCGAAACCGGTTTGGCTCAGTGGATAGAGCGTCGGCCTGCAGACTGAAGGGTCCCAGGTTTGATTCTGGTCAAGGCATGTACCTTGGTTGCGGGCACAACCCCAGTAGGGGGTGTGCAGGAGGCAGCTGATCGATGTCTCTCTTATCGGTGTTTCTAACTCTCTGTCCCTCTCTCTTCCTCTCTGTAAAAAATCAATAAAATATTGAATATATATTAAAGAAAGAAAAAGAAAATAGAAGTGGGATTAAGCTAAACCCCAGGAGTGTTCCTTTGGGGAAAGTCCCAGCAGGATCCTGGGAGAATTAATGAGATAATCCCCTTTGATGTGAATAGCCGTCCCCAGAAAAGGCTCCACTCCCTCCGTGAGGGCACCAAGGCTCGGGCTTTGACGTGAAGTACCCCTGACGGGTCTGAGGACTTACCCACTTACTGCTTTTACCTTCACTCTGCTTCTCAGGTGGAAACTTTACTACTTAGAACCCACCTGTTTCTTCCCTGAGCCTTCTGCAAAGCTCACTAAACTCCTGCCTTTGAAAAGGTTATTTTTTGATAGTTGATAGATCTGAAAGCCTTTTTTGGAGCTTGTTATTAAACAGGCACCCTCTCGGTACAGTGTATGTGGGAGTAAGCTTCCAATTTAGATTTCTCGTGTTCTGCTAGGGTTGAATCCACAGACTGAACCCGAAGAAAACGAAGATGATGAATGCATATTAAGCATTTACGTCTAAGCGCTGCTCCACGTAACATATCTTACTTCGAGACCCACAGGTTGAGAACCACTAGCAGGGTTGCCTAAGACCATCGGAAAACACAGATATTTACATTACAATTCATAACAGTAGCAAAATTACAGTTATGAGGTAGCAACGAAAATAATGTTATGGTTGGGATCACCACAACATGAGGAGCTGTATTAAAGGGTCGCGGCATTGGAAAGGTTGAGAACCACTGGAGCTGGTCTCCCTGCTCGCAGCTGTGTCCTGCAGCCTACTCACCTCTGTCACGCCTGGTGGACGTAGCTCAATGGTTGAGCGTCAACCTATGAACTGGGAGTCACTATTCGATTCTCATCAGGGCACATGCCTGGCTTGAGGGCTCAATCCCCAGAAGGGGACATACAGGAGGCACCTGATCAATGATTCTTTCTCATCATTGATGTTTCCATCTCTCCCTCCCTCTCCCAAATCAGCACGTCACTACTCAAAATCCTGTAGAAGCTTTATTATTCAGAATAAAACACATAATAAAGTCATTATTATGCCTTAAAAGACTGTACAAGATTCCTTTTCCTGCCCCAACCACCTCTCTATCTCCTCTTTTTATTTATTTTTAAAATATATTTTATTGATTTTTTACATAGAGGAAGGGAGAGGGATAGAGAGTTAGAAACATTGATGAGAGAGAAATATCGACCAGCTGCCTCTTGCACACCCCCTACTGGGGATGTGCCCGTAACCAATGTACATGCCCTTGACCGGAATCGAACCTGGGACCTTTCAGTGCGCAGACTGACGCTCTATCCACTGAGCCAAACTGGTTTCGGCTCTTCCTCCTCTTTTAAAAAATATGTTTTTATTGATTTTAGAAAGAGGAAGGGTGAGGGATAGAAACATCAATGATGAGAATCATTGATCGGCTGCCTCCTGCACGCCCCCCACTGAGGATCGAGTCTGCAACCATGGCGTGTGTCCTGACTGGAAATTGAACCCTGACCTCCTGGTTCATAGGTCAACGCTCAACTAGCGCCCCAGGGCCAGGCAGTACCTCCTCTTTTATCACTGCACCCTCTGTTCCCCTCTCCGGGCCTCCTTGCTGACTGTGGAGCACATTCTTACACCACGACCTGCACTCCTCCCTCTGCCTCATCTCTTCCCGGGGCCGTTCACCAGGTCTGTTCTCTCCTCACTAAGGCCTCTGCTCCAACAGCATCTCATCGGAGAGACTCCTGTGTCCACCTACCCTTATGTGGCAATCTCCATCCCTTCTTCCGGTTAGCTTTTTCCTATAGCCCTTATCACATCTGCTATCTACGTCTTTGTTAACTGACTGACTGCCTCTCAGCCTTGGTGTCAGTTCCAAAAGGGCAGGGCCTTGCTGCTTTTGCCGCCATAATCCCAGGACTCAGAAATGTGCCACGCACACTGCAGACAAATTTGTTGAATCCAAGGAAAAACATCAATTCACTTAATTTTCACTTAGAGTTGTTTATACCATACTCCTAAATGTCACAGGGAACTACACAAATTCTATAAAATTCCCATATAACAGAGTGAGTTCACTTTTTAAACTTAAATTTTTTTTTTAAAAAATATTTTTATTGATTTTATACAGAGAGGAAGGGAGAGAGATAGAGAGTTAGAAACATCGATGAGAGAGAGTCATCGATCAGCTGCCTCTTGCACACCCCCTACTGGGGATATGCCCGCAACCAAGGTACATGCCCCCGACCGGAATCGAACCTGGGACCCTTCAGTCCTCAAGCCGACGCTCTATCCATTGAGCCAAACCGGTCCCGGCTAAACTTAAATTTCTTAATTGATTTTTCAGAAAGAGAAGAAGGGAGAGAGAGAAAAACATTGATGTGAGAGGGAAACACTGATTAGCTGCCTCCTGAACAGTCCTGGATCAAGCCCGCCACTTGGGTATGTGCCCGGACTGGGAATCAAACTGGCAACCTCTGGTGCATGGGATGATGCCCAACCAACTGAGCCACACTGGCCAGGGCCAGAATGAGTTCACTTTTTACCTGGGATTTTTATTTTTTAATATTAAAACTTTTATAATTACTATTATTAATGCATTCTTTAAACATACGGGACACTTCACAAATGTGTGTGTCATCCTGGCGCAGGGGCCATGCTAACCTTCTCTAGGTCATTCCGATTTCGGTGTTTGTGCTGTGGAAGCGAGCATAGGAATTCTATTTTTAAATCTCTCCTTGTATTTGAACAAAACTGACAGGAGATGAATCATGCCAATTATTACCACTGCCCCCCAACTACTAACCAGGAATCACAAAACTCTATGTAAATTAGATTTAAATGCCCCCCCTTCAGATTTACCTTATCTGTTATGTCCATTTTGCAAAAACAATTAAAAAGTATTCAAGCATGCCGAAACCGGTTTGGCTCAGTGAATAGAGCGTCGGTCTGCGGACTGAAAGGTCCCGGGTTCGATTCCCGTCAAAGGCATGTACCTTGGTTGAGGGCACATCCCCAGTAGGGGGTGTGCAAGAGGCAGCTGATTGTTGATTCTCTCTCATCAATGTTTCTAACTCTCTATCCCTCTCTCTTTCTCTCTGTAAAAAATCAATAAAATATATTATAAAAATTTTTTTAAAAAAAAGTATTCAAGCATGATGCTATTTCCTTATAGAAAAAAATCCATGGCAAAATTTTGTCTTAAAATCATCTCCTATTACATGTTTAGACACAGAAACACGAGAAAAGCAGAGCTGAAGTAGCCTAGTCATCTCCCTGTGGGCCGTTTGGGGATTTGTTGATGGAAATACTTCTTGGATTTTGCCTCACTTAGATGATACACCATCTGATGGTTGCCTTGCAAACAGTAGTAATGCTGACCACCATTACCCCAGAGGGCTTTACCACGGGGTGCAGGATTAGTTTCTGTGGAGTTCTGGGGAAGCCACACAGATTTCACACAGGGATAAAAAGCTGGTGAGACTCTGCAAGTGGAGGGGAAGGGAGCCCAAATTCCTTCTCCGAAGCAGAGTCTATCCATTCCTTACCCTACACCGACAGCTCCATCATTAATTTCTGAGCCTCTCTGAACCCTCCATTCTGCATGAAGCCTGTCCTAATAAACTCCAGCTCTCAGTTCCCGTGTCTCTCTCTCAACTCACCTTTTTAAAAAATGGCCTTCGTATCGTCATGAGTCTCTTCTGGTTAGTGTCTTGCTTGGCTCCTTACAAGCAAACTGAGTGGACAGTTACTGAGTGCTTCCCTCTGCCAGGCACAGCGCTAAGTGCTGTCACACTAATTACTTCACCGAGTCTTCAAAATAATACCCACCGGGTAGATACCATTAACCCACTACTTCAGTGAGGAACTGAACTTTGGAGAGGGTGGCTTCTCCAGGAGGACAATTTATTTCCCCCAAAACAAGCCTTATCACTGGTGCTCACAGGGACATTCTTTAAGGAAAGGCTGGCCCAACTTCTCAGGACCCAGAAAGGGCTGGGCTCACAACAGGCAGTGAGCTGACAAAAAATGACTTAAAGAAAATCAACAATGAAAAAACAAGAATGACAGAGGATGTGAGTGGGTGAGAAGGCAGAGACTGCCAATTTTTATTTTCATTTTTAAAAAATGTCTTTATTGATTAAGGTGTTACATATGTGTGATTTTTATTTTTAAGACATCAAAAGTACTAGAAGACATCTAACAATGCCATGTACTATTTTGGAAAAACAATTAGAACTTTTATATAAAACTGTAACTATGAACATATGGGAATTTGTCATGATCAGTTGTGATATATGCTGCAAGTAATTTGTTATTACTAATAGAGGAATGTAGTAAATACTTTTGTTAAAAAGTATAAATAGCAGCAAATTCAAAAGGTTCACTCATTATTTTTTCTTTTTTAATATATATTTTATTGATTTTTTTTACAGAGAGGAGGAGGGAGGGATAGAGAGCTAGAAACATCAATGAGAGAGAATCATCGATCGGCTGCCTCTTGCACACCTCCCACTGGAGATGTGCCTGCAACCAAGGTACATGCCCTTGACAGGAATCAAACCCGGGACCTTTCAATCCCCAGGCTGATGCTCTATCCACTGAGCCAAACCGGTTTTGGCCATTATGTTTTCTTGAGTGGGAGACAACAGGTGTAGTTATGGCTAGTCCCCTCTGCAAAACAAACATCTCAGAAGCATTCTGAGCATGTGTCTTGATAGGAAAAAAAGGCTTAAAATTGGTGTAAGGAAAAAGTATTGGGACATAGCTCACCTGTTCTACCTTCCTGGTTCACTGGCTTCCTCAGGCTTTTAAAAAATATGGGCAGCCGTAGCCAGGTAGCTCAGTTGGCTGGAGCTTTGTCCCGATACACCTCGGTTGTGGGTTTCTTATTTCTCTGAGGATGGAAACGGAGCAAGTTTCCTCAGGCTTTTAAAAAATATGGGCAGCCGTAGCCAGGTAGCTCAGTTGGCTGGAGCTTTGTCCCGATACACCAAGGTTGTGGGTTTCATCCTCGGTCAGAGCAAATGTAGGAAGGATGCAACCAATGAATGCATGAATACTAGTAAATGGAACAACAAACCAACCCCCCCCCCCTCTCTTTCTCTCTCTCTCTTATTCTCTCCCCCACCTCTAAAAATCAATAAATAAAAATAAAATAAATAAAAAATACGGGACAAATTAACTCTACCCACTGCTAGACCATCTTTGGGGGCACTTAGACTTTATCAGTGTTGTGAGTTGGTATCTGTTCTACTTTCTTATTTCTCTGAGGATGGAAACGGAGCAAGAATAGCTTACTACTTCCAGAAACTGCCTAGTGGATTGGCTGTGTATACATGAAATCAGTAAGTTTTGAAGTTGACTCAGTTTTCTCCTGAGAAAAATGAGAGGTCAAAGGATGAGTCTGATAAAAAAAAAAAAAAGTATTATGTAAACTAGGCTATAAAAAGTAAGTTGTTCCCAAGTGAACATCAATTTCTCAGTGGCTCAGTGGCTGAGCGTCGACCCATGAAACAGGAGGTCCTGGTTGGATTCCTGATCAAAGGCACATGCCCTGATTGCGGGCTTGGTCCTCAGTAGGGAGCATGCAAGAGGCAGCCAATGGATGATTCTCTCTCTCTGAAAGCAATAAAAATGTATTAAAAAGAGATTAAAAGCATATCTCACTTTCTCAGATAGTAAATACATAATAAAAACCATTTCCTTCTTCTTCCAGGTGTTGGAAAATTGATTAACGTCTGTGAAGGCTTTCAAGTATGAAGTACCACCTCACTGCTCTGCACCTTTCTGTTTAAACTTGCTTCCTTCCTCTCAGTCAACTCCCATGCCTGTCTGGATGCCCTGATAGAATTTACAACTGCACTCTCACAAGCCGGAAAATTTTCGGGAGCAAGAAAGCTTGAAAAGATAGAAATGAAAATTTGGAGCACACTCAGACAGGCTCAATTAAATGGCAGAATAATTATTCCCCGCCAGAGAGAACCCAAATAAGCTGTCACCTCAGAGCTCCCAGGTGGCGGAGGTGCTCCAGGTAAATCAAAATGACCCTCATTAGTAAACAACACACACTAAGGAAGACCAAAAACACAACAAAGGCAGCAATTCCAAATGATGTGGTGACCCACTGCAACCTAACTTACTGAACATCTACCACAGACCAGACAGTATGCTAGGCAATGAGTAAGGTGAAGCCCCGATTTCAAGGACAGACAGGAGCCATGCAAAAGAACAAGCCAGGGATTGCATTTGTTAAAATGAGTGGAATTTGGACAAGCAGGAGCACACACATTCAAACATTCAAGTGACAGGTGTTAAGTTCTGGAAAAGTGAATCCTAAAAGACAACGATGGCATTGACATATTTATTTACACATTTGATCACGGTGAATTGGTATTTCTATGCAATGACTTTTCTCAACAGTTCAAAGCTTTCCAGCCAATCAGACACATTCGCTATGTAAACCCGCAAGAATAGGCTACAGGCAGCATGAAAGGGGCACATTCCCAGATGAACCTGAGGGAAAACCAAGTCTGATGCTCCCGGTGCAAGGACATTGCTTACTGATTCTGTACCTCGCTTTCACGGACTGAACCAAGTGTGGCTGGTTTGCACCATAGCAGAAAGAATAAAGCTAGAAGAAAGGTTATCTTACAGATGATTATGGAGCAAAATCATAGCAGTTCTGAAATCAACTTCCATGGTTACATCTTCTGAGCCATTAATTTTACTGCAAGGAATCCAGCTTCAGGAATAATAAAAGAAGCTGTCAAAGATTTATGTACCAGCAATTTCCTAGGTGTATATCCTACAGAGGTGTGCGCTGTGTTCACCAGAATATATATCCAAGATAATTTATAACAGCACTATTTGTTAATACCTAACTAAAACCTATAAATAATCATCACCAATAAAACAGGTGTATGATATATTCATATAATCTATATATAAAAGCCTATATGCAAATTATCCCTGAGGGAGTTCGACCAGGAGACCAATCGCTCACTATGACATGCGCTGACCACTAGGGAGCGGTACAGAATGAAGGCAGACCCCGGCCAGCAGCCAGAAGGCAGGCCCTGGCCCTGATTGCCGGCCAGGCCTAGGGACGCTACAAACTTCATGCACCGGGCCTCTAGTTGATTACATGCCAAAGTAAATGAAAATTACTGAAGCTACTTGTAGCAACATGGATGAACTATAAAAAACAAATTGTTAAGTGAAAGAAATCAGACACAAAATAATTCTCACTATATGATTCTATTAACACTAAATTCCCAAATAGGAAAAATAAAGTATTCTTTATGGATACATATTTAGCAAGTGAAACTCACTATACAGGAAAGGACTGGCTACCACAGAAGTTGGAAGATAGTTCCTCCGGGGAGAAGAAGGGGGTTGTACTGTGGAGGGGCTTGTGAGACCCTGAGCAGAGGGCTCAGTTAATTCATGCCCAACTCCTGACCACCAGCAACGGTGACAAATAAATATAAGGATCATGAGTTCCTTGCACCTCTTGAAAGAAATTGGCGTGTGAAGCCAAATTCCAGTTAGAAAGATTCTTGGATGATTGTATGTCCCAAACGGGGTCATGAAGTCACATGTCATGTTCCCTCCATCCAGGTATGAAATGCCCAGGACCCAATGCTCCTGTTCAAGCCCCGCATCCCCAATCCAGGGAGGGAAACCGATGCCAGGCAGCAGCTCTTAACC